GAATTAATGTCGGATACACCTAGGGAAGAGGATAAAATGGATAATAACGTAAAGTTTATGAGTTGAAGTCTACTATAAAAGCCAGGGGATGCTAGCGTCATATTACTTTCTCGGAGTTTTTCTTGAGCGATATACTACTATCGTAAAGTTTGTGTCATTCTAGTTCTTACAGTGACCGCGTAATATGAGTTGGATTTTGAAATTATCATATTTGATATCATTTGAGCAACGGTAGAAGTCGTGGTAACAGAAATATGATACTTATGGGAAAAGCGGGCAAATTTAAGCTAGAAAATACCTTTCATTGCTCAAACAGAAGTGCGAAGAAGACGGCAGATTTCTGATGCTATATGTATGATGTTAAGGTGGTTGCTATAGCAAATTTCTGATGCTATATGGATGGTGCTAAGAAGGTTGCTATAGATACCACGTTTGGAACACGAATGCGATGTCGCTGTGGCTCGACATCATGGTCGCCGCGTTAAACTTCCTATTTCCAATAGTTCCCTTTTGGCTAATATGATGCGACCTTAAACATATTGTAACGCAACCTGCAAACACTGCTGCATGAGTGGGAATCGAAACTACTGGAACCGGAGTGGAAACCACTGAAATCGAAGTCAATACCAATGGAATTGGAATAGAGACCATTGGAATCGGATTCAAAAACATCGGAATCGGAATCAAGTCTGTTGGAGTCGGCATACAAACCACTGGAATCGGAATTGAAACAATCGGACTCGAAGTCGAAACCATTGAAATCGAAATCGAACCCATTGGAATCGAAATCGAAACCATCACAATCGAAACCATCGGAATCGGAATGGAAACCTTCTGGATCGAAACCATCACAATGGAAACCATCGGAATCGGAATAGAAACCGTCGAGATCGAAACCATCGCAATCCAAACCGTCAGAATCGGAATAGACACCAGCGAGATTGAAACCTACAGAATCGGAACTATGGGAGTGTTCGAATTCCCATTGCGGGATCATTCCTTCGAAACGACTCGTTCACAACCAATTCAGCTCTAATGTAGAGTGGCTGACTGACTATCCAATCGCGAATTAACTGGAGGGATTAAAATTTCACAGCTCATATACTCATATACCTTCTTTAATGTCATAAAAGATGAAACTGCCACTTATTCCGTACCTGCTCCCGGAACCCGTACAATTTTCAATATACCCTCTCTCTTCTGTATATATATCGACTCAAGTATAAATGTCAAGTTGCCTTATTGTTCCTCTGGGCTTCACTTTATTGGCTGAACTGCCTGAAAGGACTCTAAGGTAGGGCCGAGAGGCCCTATTGGACCAATTGTTAAATTGAATAAATATGAAACAGATTTTCTAAGGAAGGATACAGAGCGATATTGAGTGGCAATTGTGAACACAAAGAGCTAATTCGCTTTGTTATAGAGCTGCCCTTAATGAAGTTTAAATATGAATATAGTTGTTTGTCCCTTCACCTTAAATGGTATACGACGGTCGAGTTAGGGAAAGGGTTCGGATATCTATAATCAGAATTGGTATGATTCAGTTAATGTACGTGTAGACTGTAAGAACATACAGGGTGCGCATATATTATATCTCCAGCGAAATAATGGAAGAGGAGGAAACGATGCCGGGTGTTGCGAAAACGGGTAGATGTCAGCAATATTTTCAGTGGCAATTACAGCACAAGAACTACATTTTAAAAATTTTAGACTACCAAAATCTTGAAGATATTGAAAATTCTGGAAATTCTATAACTTCCGTGAATTTGCCAAAATTTTTAAATATTTCCAAATTTTCCTCAATATTCCAAATTACAGCACAAGAATTTTCTACATTTTCAAAACTAACAAAATTTTTACGACACTGAAAACTTTAAAAAATCCGAAAATTTTGGTTTATTTGAAGATTTTAAATTTCGAATGTTTTTCAAATGTTCTTCAAAACTGAGACCCCTAATATTAACAAGGAATATAGGTGTAACTTAGGACGTTTCAAAAACGATGTCAAAACAAAATTTATATTTGGTTTTAATTTAGGCACGTTTGAAAATATCTTTAGAAGAGACCATGAGATTCAGAGAAATCCTAATTATACTGCCTTGATTATTTAAGAGGTAGGCAAATATCGTTTGTGCCATTATTTTCTTAAATATTTGTAAAAGTGGATGTTCTGCAATCATTTTCCTTTATTCATTTGTAGCTGGCATGGAGGGAAAAATAGCTATACAAAAGTAGTTAATTAAGTTGCTTTGTAAAGCGGGATCATTAATGTTTAAATTTAGTATAATTGTTTTCACAGAAAATTCCGTCATCTCAATTTATAAGACGGCAAGAATAAATTATACAGATGCTTTTAGGAGGAGCGTGATGAGGAACCTGTGACAAACAATATAATTAGATTTCATGTCAATTAACAAAAATAGGAGGTCCAAAAGGTCTACAAACAGCCAAGGATGACCTTCCCACCAAGCCTAAATTCTATAAACAAGCTATAACTAACAGATTTTGATGTGATACTTGGAATTTCCTGGATGAACTAAATGTGAGGAGAAGTTTCAAATCCGTTCTTCTTTAAGACCCTTTTGTTGACCAATTAGTCATGTCAACAATATTATAATCCGTATACTAATCGGATTCAAGACTAGTATATTATACTTAATAGAGAGGCCTTTGAAATCTCATGTATGCAAGTATGTGTTATATAGCCCACGTCTGTGAAATCAACAAAGCCTTGTGCCTCCGCTTGACATTTTTAAATACTAAGCAGTTATAGTCGCCTTCCTTGTTTATGTTTTGGTTGATGATGTAAAAATTCCGGTGGGCGATGCCATAACATATCCTTTGTTTGATATTTTCGCTTCAAACCTGTCTCGATCCAATGGCAGGTATACCTAGAAATTTTCATGTCTGCATGGATTGTAATCGATATGGTACCATTTCTGAGTCGGCACTAGACGATTCCACAGGTTCAATAAATATTATTTACCCAATTATCAGGGAATAGATAGTTTTGTCTCAGCAGTCGCCGCTATTGACGAGAGGCATTCGTGCCAGATCAACTCCTCGGTGATCTCGACTCCGACAAGCAGAAATGAACGGCACTTTAGTAAAACTAGGCCATGCATCCAAACCAGAAGAGCCCAGGGGCGCTTCTTGTTAGTCAACATACAGTACTGTGTTTTGGAATCATTAAACTCTACAAGACTGTTGCGTCCACAAGCAGTGATAACCTCCAGACGTCACTGCTAGCCTTCTTTCGAGCTCACTGGCAGAGAGCGGCTTGTCACTGTGCACTCCAGCAAATCTCAGGACCAGATTGATCATACAGGAAGTGATATGTGATGCAATGTCGGAGCCAAAACTGATCCTTGGGGAACACCCACGTTGACACTGTGGGATGGAGAGGTGAGCCCGTAAATAACGACACGACACTATTTTGAATATTCTCTCAAACATAAAACAGACACTTCCATATAAATTTCATTTTATATAATCGGGGTTTGTTTTGTTTATTCACGGTTGAGGTATGGTGCCAGGGGTTCCGTGATGTTCTAAGGATTAATAACTCCCGATAGGATTATCTCTGGGTTAATTATGTGACGCCTCTAATCTAATGCTCCTAATTTCTCGTGCGGTTAGGTAAATTGACCTATATTTCGCAAGCAAAGTATTTTCGTGCGGTTTGTTTACGTGTCCGTGGGAGCGGTTACGGTACGCTTAGATTTTTATGGATTTATTGCTTTTCCGTAAAACAATACAACATATTCGCAGTACCAACTAATGCAGATGATGTAGGAGTACTAATACATTTACTGTTTATGTCACATTTTCATCAAATAGTGCATTACAAAGAAAATTGGGATCGAATCGGTTATTGCAAAATATCGTAACATAATTTGAATTTTACAGGATACAATAAAAACTGTGTCACTGGGAAATTAATCATCAGTTTTACAGTACTCTTTTGAATTTAATGTAGTGTTTGAGTTATGTCAGATCGAAATTTCTAAAAATATTCAAAGTAGATTAATAATAATAAAGGAAAACTGTTTTGGGCTTACGTTGTTTTAGCAGAAAATAGGGTGAATAAATTAAACAAAAGAATGATATTAATCGTATTTTTTCTGTTGAAGATTACACTTTAATATTGACTATTAGCATGCCAAATCTTAAAACAGTAGGTACTCGTACAAGTAAATACAAGGAACAGTGAAGAGCTTATTTTGGATGAATGTGTGTTTGCAGCTTTCGCCAAAACTAAGGTTGAAGAAGCATATAATATAATAAACAAACTTTGTTGATGCTTGTAGCTCTACCCCAGCATAGGATGTTATAAGATAAATGGCTGTTTACGACTGATTTAAACAATATTCAATTTCGGACAATAGCTAGTGCCATATAAATATGAAAATGAACTACTTTACCTGCTTGGTAGTTATTATGCCAATGTTTTTGAAGTACAAACACTTGAAGATTACAGTAATTTTGAAACCATGTACAATACAATACAAATAGTCTTTATTCGTCAGATCATCGTAATATGACATTGAAAGCTTCAGAACAGAGGCAGGAAAACACAATAAAGAGACAAAATCGTTAAGGCGCAATATAGCAAAAACACAACGAACACACCTAAGTATGATTTTTAAAAAAAATCCACAAACTCTCCAAAATTGATTCATGAATTAATTTGTTTAGTTTCTGATACATTTTATACTTTGACATAAGCTGCTGAGGTAACATAAACCTAGCAAAGGTCCATCTTAACACACATGTGGTTACCATAGGAACATTTTTTAACGCATCACGACGGAGGCAGTACCTGAACACAACTGACGATCATACGTCAATAGAACTGCCGCGATACTTAATAGATGATCGTAATTTTTTGAGTAAATAACCGCTGAGAGTGATAATTTGATTTAAAGAACGTCTGGTGCTACCTGCTGCGACAATATCTTCGCCCTGAATCAACCGCATTTGCAACCAACAACACTTACACCCCCGATACAAAAAAACACAATAACAATTCACACAAGAGTTCACTGGCACTCGCGACCGGTCCTTAAGAACGGGCGTAATCTGAGAGTTGCACGCGTATCGCGCGTCTATATCCGACTGGAGCAGTGGAGCTTGCAGCGCTCAAGCTCTGTGACTCAAGAGGCGAGAGTCGCGAACCGTGCCGCGGATGTCGTACCACAGTTCGCGGCCGTTTGCGGCGCAAGGGTCGGTCAGTTTGGGCCGAGCCGAGTCGCTCGGACCGCTGGGCACAACTTGGCGCGACGACTAAATAGAACAGTCAATGTAAGACACTAATACACTATTCATCATTTCGGTCCGATTTAACGATTGACCCGCAGGAATTTCGTCCAATCGAAAAGAATCATTTGCGACCCGCTACCAAATTCGACCAGACAAAAAAATAAGAATTTGTGTAAAAAGAAGCATACATTTCTCAATCGATCAACATATCCAGTAGTTGTAGTGGTGAGGAAGCGAAGCCAGGCAGGTAGGCCCACCTTTGGCCTTTTGCCGACACCGGATGTACTAACACTCTACTCCACAAGTTAGTTCTCATCACCCTTAAAAGGGATAAGTGACTGTTCAGTCTGCAGTGCCCAGTGAGAAATCCCAACAAAAGGTTGAGTAATTCTTTGCATCTGTCCAGTAGCGAGCGCGTCCGACGTTTGTCGAGGCTTTGTACGAACCTCATGGCATGTCTGCAGTCATCTCTCCCTCGCCACACGTTTCCCAGGTTGCTAGTCACCCATTCATTCAGGGCGGTGTTTTCCTAGGTTGTGCTTATGCGTAGCCTAGGCTGGGGATCGATGCAGGTGCTTCTGGCCCACAGCCTAGCCACGCGATCAGCTTTCTGGTTGCCCGTCACTCCGCTGTGTCCGGGGACCCATAGCACCCTGCTACTTCTTTATTTCGGGTCAAGCTCTAAAGGATAGCAGTACATTTCTTGACTAGGGGTGACCTTATCCTCGGGGGCGGCACTGCCTCCAGGGCTGCGTGACTGTCGGAGCTTCCTATGAGTATGCGACCATGAAGATGGAATGTTTCAGGACATTCAAACGAGATCATTGATTTTTGTCCTTAATAAATTATATTATCTAGACAGCCTGGCCTTAAGATGATATGTTCGCTTATTTCGTATGGTTTTTCGTGAAAATAACTCCATTCAGCTCTGGCAACACCACATCGCGAAATGCATAGTCACTTATGAGCGAAAGAAGCGGTTCATTGGTAGAATGAAGAGAGAAAATAGATTGACTCATTACTGATGACGCGTTGATATACAACAGTCACGGACTGACGAACCGTGTGATGCAGATATCTGTGAGCAACAGAAAACTGGACTGAAGTTCGAATATTATGGCGAGTTTAATAGTTAGTTGATTTTGAAAATTGATATATAGGCGGCGGAACTACGAACAAAAAATAAAATCGCAAGAACATCCACAACGTTTCAGAGACTCCTGCTCGTTTTCAGACATTGTTTGGGAGGGAATGAGAATTGAAGGTTGGAAGCTGTATGCGGTAAATGGTTATAAATCGTTGCATATTTGGTGTCAGTGAAAGACCTTCCATTATTAAGAAGCTGCTGATCTCAGTGATACTATGCACCTGTCGCTCATAAGTTACACATATTTTCCCTACATCTGCCATGGAAACAGAAATATGAAAGATTTGTTTTATATATGCAGATGTAGAAGATTCATGGTACTTCAGTGAATCAACCTAATCACGATTCGATTTCGCCTTTTGATATGAGTTTACTCATCCCTTTCCTTTGAAATCTCCATCGAAGGCGTAAGAAGTATAGAGTCAATCTAATTTAGGCTAATTTTTCATCTACAATGACTGTGCTATTTTTACGTATCCCCGTAGCACCTTCCACATCCAGCAGAAAGCAGAACCCACGTTCGTCGCTTGCGCTCGCGAGTCTGTGTGCAGCAAGTTGCAAAAGAAGAAAGAAGGCTTCATGATGGCTTCGCCCACCTGTACCTACTCTTTTTGGCCGTGGTTGTGGCACGCCACTCGCTGTACAAGGATCTCGCCTACGGCCGACGTGCCAAATAAAAACGCGCGTGTACATGTCGAGCTGTGCAGTTTGCGAGATCTACCACCGAGGAAGGATCTTCGTCATAGTTGTTTTTTTTTTTCTTTTGGAAATCATGCACGGTTGAACAGATGCATGGATCGTAAAGATAGTAACAGTTCAATAGCTAGTTATAATGTGGAGAAAAAGAGAAATATTTTTCGATCCATGGAATACTTTACCTGAAAGGGTTCGATAGGATAGAAGCCTAAACAAGGGGATGTATAAGCTAGAGGTTTTCAGGGTCACACATTTTGCCCATACATGAACAACCGTTCACAAATATTTTTCCAGTAAAAAATGGTGACAAGTAGGTTGCCTCTGCACTTTCTCCGTAACGCCCTTCTCAGTACAGAAAGGAATATGTGTATCACAAACTAGACCGTCTAAGAAAAAAGTCAGTCAAACAGGTCCTACAACTACTCACGCGGCTGGGGCACTGTAGGCGTTATTGAATCTGGATCGGACCCTCCGCTGGTAAAGGATATCGCGTGTCTGACAGATGGGCAACACTACCGACACCAATAATTTTTGAGTAAATAATCAAACGTTTTCTAGTGATACCTCCTACCAGCCTCCAACCCCCAATTTTCAACCCCTGCACTTGACTGGCCCGATATTCAGCAACAACAAAATGTTTGTCCTCGTGTGAAAATTAAAGAGAGGTCAAGGATTAGCGGCCAGACAGAGAGACAGACAGACAGGCGGAGGTTTTTCGTAATGTAGGTACTTGACCGTTCTGGGAGTACGTTTGTGGACCACTTGGTGATGACGGTGTTTCACTGTGATTTGTCGTCAGTTTTTCCTTTGTACATTCCTAAATTACTATATGACATGAAACTAAAATGAAAATGGTTAAGCTGCTTCCTTCTTCGACTCACATTTTCGTCTGCTGACTAACACTTGCATAAAGTTGATGTTTTCAAAGAAATATTTCAAAACTGTATTTCCCCGCATCGTAAAATTTAATATATCGTATATTCGACCAGTAAAGTGCGTGGGCAAGGTTGCCAGGCTTAGAAAAATTTCTAGAGATCTAGAGATTTTCAATTGTTGAAGTTATTGAGAAAAACCAACCAATACTACAGTGGGAATCAAAATTTCCTCTTGATTTCACTCAGTCGCTCCTATTTGATTTAAAACCTCCTAAGACTCCTCTTTTGGCAATGACCTTCCTGTTTCTCTTCCAGTTTTACTTCCTTCGTCACTGGGCGAGAAAGTATTGTAGTCGCGAAAAATTTCGAAAATAAGGTATGTTTTGGATATCACATAATGTAGGTACATCACGAAAAACCATGACACTCACTTCCGTTGGTCTGAGTGTCTATTCGCTAATCCTTGGATAGCCTACAACTTGAGATTTCCACACAAAGGTACTACCATGGCATGCACGAAGGAGCTTTGTAGTTTTTAAAAGTTTGTCCAGTGGCGGCACGAAACAAATTAAAATCGTCTAACCTCGTTTTTTACGTTTCAGAGATTTCATCATTATCAAAACAAATATGGGTTGAAATTCGCAGGTTGAAGGGGAGAATATATCATTGTTTGGCGAAAGTATATTTACTGCATCGCCGACAGGGATGATCGCCGAGATATAGTATCGTGGCAAATGAACTGTGTCGGGGTAAATCTTTATAGTTGCGCCTCTCGAACGAGAGCACTAGCCCTCTGCTACGACTTCAAATGGCGCGGATTTTAATGAAGGAAGTTACGTTGCCGCACTCTGAATTTTCAGGGAGTTTCGATTTGTCAACTTGGCAACACTGCAGAGTGAGCACCAGCGACCGGCTCTGTGGTCATAAAACAACGAACGAATGACTACCACACGCATATGTATATGTACTTTATGTCCATATGCATGTGTACGTATGTATATACGAGCAGTACAAAATGATTGTTTCTTAATACGCGACACATACATTCCAACCTCTGCTGTTTTACTGTTTATGTATGAGCCTACTGGGTTATGTCAAATACACGTAATGTGCAATTATTGGTTTGGTAGTACCTTGACATATGTATAGGGAGCACGTGGTACTCGATAGTATTAGAACTCCGGGTTTCTCTGGAGGGAATGAGACCTAGGATTTCTGGTTCCTCAGCCTTTTTTATTTCTCGAGCAGGATTTCCCGAGTTTCCCTAGTGTCGAGAAATTTTGAACAAAACACGATTTCCAAATTTTTGTTCCATTTCAAATTAAACTGATAGATGAGGTCAATTAAACCAAATGGTAAATTCTTAGTTACCATAAATTGCACATTTTAATTAAGAAATCAACAACAAACAGAAGTCAAACATACTGTACTTGGCTAATCTATATAAAAATTAAAGCGTAGGGTATTACTCAACTGTTATATAATCATTATGCTGGCAGATAAGTAACAAAATTGCTGACGACCCTATGAATCCAATACAAAAAACGTTGCTAAATTTTCTCTGTTGTACGAAGCCAGGACTCAGTTGATCCCATGTGGGAGGGGGGTGTATTTTGAGGTCAATTTTACATTTAAAGCACTTATTTTGATAGAATGTCTACGGAACTTACAAGAAGATGTATATGGACATCTCCTATGGAGTTCGAGAAATACCAGTTCCTAAAATATGCCGATGTGAATGCGTTAGTATTTTCATTTTGATACGCCACTGGTTGAGAAGAGACGAAGCAATTTTGTTTTCCCCGCCAGTCGATTCCGCCTCATGGCCACCAAACAATGTTGGAAAATAAACAAATGTATAATCATGAATGAACGGCAGTATCTATGTTATCCTCTCTTCGGTGGCTACCAGACATATGTATTTTCATAATGGTGCGATCAGCTTAATGATCCCGTACCACTCTCTCTTTAGTCGCAGACTTTTTTTCAACACTCATATAGAACACCGCAGTTTTCATTTAGTCTAAAAGAACTTGGCTAACCAGCAGCATTTTCAAAGAAAATCATATGCAGGTGTCATTCCAAAGTGCAACAGTTTCATAATGCACCATTTGCTTTACTGCTAGCTCTTTTTTACGAGTTTCTCTGGCCATTAGTGAACTACCATCACCATGAAGCAATTATCACCCAGTCCATGAGTTATGAAGGCTGTTCCTTGCTCTAAGTTATAACCACCATAAAACATCGTTCGGAAATAGAATTGTGTGTGTGTAGTTATTTTTAAAGATTTCCTTTCCGCTAAAAATACTACGTCTCATATTAACATATTCCATATTTCGTCAGTCACC